ACAGCGAAGACGTTACCATCCGCGGAGAAGTCGGCATGTGCGATTGATCGCTCGTAAGCTCCCGAGGGTCCGCTAAGAGGGTTCTGTGTAGTGACGTCGCGATCGACTCGGAAGAGGGGCTGTACTTTCTCCAGTGCGCGAGGTGGGTCTGCCGGGTCATCTGTCCGTACCACTCTGACCAGCTGAATCTCGTCGGTCGCCGTGATAGCTGCTAGCCATTTACCATTCGAGGCCAACTTGAGAGTCTTCGCGCCAGGAATGGAAGGCATCTCGAGTCTGCGCACACGCAAAGCTTGTCCAGCTCCAGCCAGATGTAATAGATGAAACAACTTTACTGTGCTGGCTGTCGCAACGGCAAGAAGACCACCATCTCTGGAGATGGACACCGATATGATGTTCTCCTCTCCCTGAAGAGCAAGGCGTGCAACGACCTTGGGCTTCTCCGTACCGTCATCCTGAGGCTTAACACGCCATATCCGTACTTCTGTGCCCCACCAGCTCACCAACAACCTGGCCTCTGGGGCGCTTGTTAGGGGCGGAGTAGGAGGCAAAGCAGGGAGACCACGGCTAAGCTCCTTGCCGAATGTGCGGATGGGGACAACGATGGGCTGGGTATCAATACCTAAACGTTTACATGTTAGACATGAGCTGTGAAGATGCGCATATGTACGTACCTCCTGTGACCACCACGCTAAGGTTGTTGCCCTCATATGTTGTCATGGCTTTAACGTCGTGTTCGTGGTACCTCTGGTGCGACACCTTTCGCCATTTTCCGCTCTGTCCTTGGGATTGTCCCTTCTTGCTCGTATAGAAACAGGTACGGCGATCCATGCCTGCACTGAAGATGCTGGTTCCGTCGCGGGTCACAGCGAGATCGAGCACATCGGCTTCGTGCCCAGATATCCTCTGGGTCTGACTGTAGTTCTTGCCGCTATAGATGCGGATGTCGCCAGTAGAGTCTCCTGACACGAAATCGCCGTTGGAAAGGCACTTGACCTTCCATACCAGGATTTCCTTAGGTCCACCGTGAGGACCGCTTCCCAAAGAAATGTTTCGAATCACATTTCCGTTCCTCGTATCGAAGACTCGAATCATGCTGTCGGCAAAACCTGCCAGAACCGTGTGCTGATCCTTGTATGCGATGCTGAGAGCACGCGCCTTCTTGTTTGTGGCGCGGGAGACGAAGCGCTCGAAAGTGAGATCGTTATCGTCGGTAGACAGAAGGACGATAGTACCGTCGGCGCAACCTGCAACAAGCTTCTGGCACGCACCGCTCGCGTTCTTCCTGGGCTGTGCAGCAAAGCACCAGACTTCGCTATGGTTACCGTCCGAGTGTCGCGCCGGAAGACCCGTGGTGAGATCCCATTCTGTGACACTGCTTGAGTATCCGATGCTGAACAGTCGCAGACGTCCGGGCACCACCTTGCCATGCGCATCGCGTGAATTTGGCTCTTGGGTCCAAGCCAGCCCTTCGACGCTCCGATCCTTGCCGCCATAGAAGACCTTCTCTTGAAGCCACGAGCCTCTTGCGGGGTTCCATATCTCAATGTTTCCATTTGCGCGTCCAATCGCCAGCCTCAGAGACTCAGGATCCTGCTGTCCATGTTCGGGTTCCGGGTGCGAGAAGGCGAGCGCGTTGATCGCAGACGGCGGGTAAGGCACGAAGCGGGATCGGTGGATATCCATGGTCGATAGTGGGATATTTATCTAGCGGTAGGATATGCGGAGCTGTGCGAACGTCTACGAGGCGAGCGCTAGCATTACAATACGACACTCATTGCTGCGGAAGAGCTCAGTCGCGAACTTCTCTCGAACTCTTGGCGAGCCGACTTTGACTTTTCGGTGGGTCCGTCGGAGCTCGGGGAATGTTTCTCCGATCTCAAGACGACCTCCGCATCACCTCCGCACCGTCTTGCAATGCTTCAGACAGAAATGGCATCTGCACGTTGGCAATGTCTCTCACCAAAGGCAGCTATCTGTTTGGATACTCACAAACACCCAGATGATATATTTTAAACCGTCCGATACTGCCCATTCTCCACGTCCTGCGCTCTCGTGTCCCTCGCTTCGATCCACCCCTTCGCAGACGCCAGAACCGGTCCGTCCAGTTATAAAGCACGATGAGGGTCACCGAGCAGTAAACATACATACAAGCGAACACGGTCGGATCTCTTAACCCAGGAGAGAGTCATGTTGGGCAACAAATTCCGCCTCTGCGTCCAAAGGGGCTTAGAGGTGTGAAGTGCACTGCTTCTTAATGACAAGGTGGACATACGTACAACTACTCGAATTCACCTCTACAAACTTGGAGCGAACAGTTCTCTAGAGTACCAGGCGGTCCTCTGAGAGACAGGTTTCTTGCATATGCTAGTATGAGGAAGGTCGTCATTCACAGTTGGACCCGCCTACTCGGGAAGCACTATGCATGTATACGTCGTGAGTTGCTTAACATGTGTCTTTGACGGAGCTCCAGAACGTACCGCGAGGATATATTTCGATGCTAGGTGCTGCAATCGACAGAATATTCACTACTTCATGCCCATGGACGCATTATAGTGCTTGCGCAGGCTGTGTACTTGCAAACATTTTAAAGTCCACAATACTGCAATTAGAATTCGCCAAGTTATCATGATGTGACCTTACGAAAAGGCAAAGTGATTACAGTCCTGTGCTCGAGGCGAGGTGTTGCGTCTAATTCGCTGACCGACCGTTGACTGACCTATTGTTCCGGTGGTCTAAATCCGCCTCGTCTTCTGACAAGCCACTTGTTGGAGAATGCTCCGGCAATACCGCGCGAGTCAAGACTAGCTTTGCTGGTCCACGTGCGGACCGAACTCAATGTTTCAATACTCACGTCATGAAGAAACTGTTTGCAGAAGCGTTGGCGAGTTAACGCTGATCGGGAAAATGCATCCCTTCGCACTCCGGCGGAGGGGGGGCTGCCAAATGTCATTGTTGCGCCGCAACGGTGTTGGGTTCTTTTTCGGTTGAGGGATTGGCAAAGCTTTGATAAGATGGTTTTGATTGAAATTCGAAATGTCCGTTGCGCAATAATAGCAACATGAGGATCTCCAGGGGCTGGCGAAGGATGTTGAATCCCGCATATGCCCAGGTATTGGATTAGACCGAGACGAGCTTCAGGCCTAGTCTTTTCAAAGGGTTTCATGGTACATGATGGTGGACTGCGAACCATAAGTCTGCGCGTACGCGGTGCGCGTCTTACGCGAACGCCCCAGGGGCCTTACAAGACCCAAGACGCGCTGAGAAGCAAATATCGGGATGATCTCGCAGTTGAAGCAGAGGTCGAACCTTGGAAATTTCAAAGCGAGAGCTTGGACCGTCAGGCGGGGTATGTTGTTATTGCGGCGGGCCTCATTGTCCGTGGAACGCAAGTCAGTGATGCCGTGCGAAAAGACTGGTTGCAACAGACTGGACCCGTTGCTGCTCACGGTGCTTGGTGCAGAAGCGCATGTTGAATATTGAAACATGCAGTGTGGTCCCGCGGCCACAGCCAGAGACGTTGAAAAGTTTGCTCATCGCCGTCGTGCAAGCATGCACAGATCTTCTGACAAGTGCATGCAGTGCCCAGGTAACGCCTTTAAGCGATGAAGCCGAAGATTAGCATGCTTCTATGACGAGTCGCATGTAGTACCGGGTCGCTGTCCTGCGGGCCTCGGCGCACCGTTGCTGAGGCAAGCAAGAGACCTTTGGTCATACCGACAATCTTTGTCTTCATCAGATCCGCTTGGTTAAGAAAATTCCGGAGCAAATTTGCTGACAATGAGCTGGTTGTGAAGATCGGCCCACTTGAAAGAAGTCCAGCGCCGTGAGAGCGTCCGACCGAGGCAGCTGTGCACGGAGTCAGATCAGAAAATAGCCTGGATCCTTTAAGTTTTGTCGCGTGCGCACAGCTCAAGTACTTTAAGACGCGTTTCCTCGCGACTGTGACATAATGCCTGGAACCCGGACGTGCTGAGGTGCATTGGTGGCTGGCGATGGTACAGTTGCGGATGTCGGGTGGCCACTAGCTGCAGCAGCGACGTGAAGCAAGATTGTTAGAGCAAGATTGAATGCGGAGTTGCCGGGTTAGCATCTTCCTTTTTTACTCAGATGATGAACGCGAAAGATCACGCTAGGATTCGTCGTCGCGAGAGACGATGGGCCCAGCCGCCTGTCAATATCCCAAGCCGAATCACATTGAGTCTGTTGAACAAGTTGCGAAACGCGTGCATGGCGATGCGGTTGGACGGGGAAGCTAGGTAGGTTTGGCAGGTGAACTATCGGCAACAGGATGATCTCGATAGACTTGGTCACTCACCACGATCTTCAATTTAGTTGTGGAGTTCGGCCGTATATGCTTGCACGACGTGGAGACGGTTGTTACTATCTGATGCGGCCGCGCAGAGCTGAGGCTCACTAGGTCGGAGGCGCACCTTCCTTACTCAAGATAACACACATGCATGAACGCGTCTCTACGCACAATGTTTGCGTCAACTTGCAACATCAAGCCGCTGTCAGAAGTGATTCCAAGGTTCGTTTGCATGCGGCACGACCGGACCTCGTAATAGAGGGATAGCTCATATAAGCAAACCCCGCCATAAATCCCGCCGGTCAGCAAGGGAAGGTCAACTCCGGAGTATGGCTGATTTCTAGAAACTATGCAGTGGAGGCTTGCCAGACTCACGGACTCGGCCACAGTAATTAGGAGAATTGGCAATCTTACCAACTATCTTAGGCTCCGACACACGCGTTGCTAGTCGACGCTACTAAACACGTGGATCATCGGGTCAAGGGCACTAGAAGCTACTATCGTCGAAACACCACGGGCATTGCGAAACGATGAGTCCAACGGTCGGCCTTGAGGCTTCAGTATGAGGTCTGTGTTGCACAGCGAATGTCGTGCCAGGGTCCCCTTTTTGAGTAATCTACCATGCAGACCAACGTGAGCAGAGCGCGTCCATGAGTCTCCAAAATTTACTCCTGAGTTTCTGAGATTTGCCATGTGGACCTCCGGGGAGCATGACGCCGTTGTCGAGGACGCGCGACCGGAGCGTACTTGGGCAGACTCGCAGACATGGCGGTGCGACGCGTTACCGGGATGCAACGTGCCGACAGGCGTCTTCTGCTGCTTTGTTCAGCTCCAACAAAGGAGGAGTAGTTCAGCCTCTCCTAAATCGTCTAATGATGACATGACCTCAGCTTCCTATAGCATGTCAGGGGAACCACGACTCTGGTGCAGGCATGGGTTTGAGATGCAAGCAGCGAGAGCGACGGGCACAATGCCATATGCAGGTCTTGGCCGTGTGCAAAGCAAGTTGTTTCCTGTGCGCAGGCGAGGGACACATTGGACAGCGATCGTAGGCCTATCCTGCAACCTTGTATAGCTGCATGAGTGGCCTCACCGGCGCCCTGGCAGGGCTCTAATTCGAGCGGGGCCAGGCGAATATTACAGCCACGGCGCGCTGCTCAGACCTTCATGCCGCGTTGAGAAAAGCAACTGCAGCAGGCAGTATTGGTGCGAGGCCGCTGAGGGCAGTCCTACGCTGCAGCAAGGCCGAGTGCCAAAGTCGCTGCTGTGTGTGAGGGCTGGGGCGGTGGCACAGCAGCGGGTGCGCGCGACGGCAACGGGAGCAGCTCAGCGCTGGGTCATGGTGGTGATGGTTGCGGAAGACACGGGACTAGGACGCGTTCAATGAGCGTGTTCCTGGCCGAAGCTTCTCAGACGCAAAAACGCCATGGTTGATCCACAATGGGGCACGACGGCGGCGGAATACGCATCGGTTGGCTGGGCGCTGTGGGCGTATCAAGTTCCCTGTTCCCATGCTGTACGAGTTGCCGTGTGTCAGATGCGGTTAGCGTCAACCTCCTAGGGCTTTGCTCGCCCAGTCGTTTTCTCCAAGCTACGTCCGTCTGTATCGTGCTCTCTTCTCACCTCCTCTCCCCTCTTCTCATATCCCTCTTTCACTACGGTCGAGCACGGAGAAACTTTGGATCTGATGTGGTGCTGAGTGTTTCGGCTCCTATCTTTCCATAAAACTCCCCAATCTCCTGCTCTCGGTCCCCTAAACCCGACCGCCGTCTCTCCTCGAATAGGATCGTGAAGAGTTCAGACTCCCTGCACCTTCACCCTACTTCATCCGCCGACCTCCTACCTCGTCTCTCGCTGGACGTAGAGATAGCTGAGAACACGTACTCGCTCTACTCTAGTCCTTCGCTCTCTACACAGTTGTCCATCCAGACTTCTGTATCATCAGCCTCGTGTGTGACGATTGAGCATCCATCTTGGTAGGTCACTTGTTCTTTGTTTCTTAACTCCGGGGGCTTCCAGCAATGCCGGTTCCGCTCACTCAACGACTGCCCAACGCCAAGGATTCCATCTGGAAGGGACGCCTAACGAACAACCTCGGTCCGACAACGAAGAACATGGCAACCATCCATTGGGAGTGCAGGTCAGGATGATTCGCAAGAGCGGCATGATATTGAAGTCAGTGGTCGTAGGAATCGGGCGGAGAAGAAGCTTCAGTTGAAGGATGTTCGGTTCGATAGCAGGCCCCGGACTGCGTTCTCCATCTACGACATGGATAAGAAACTCCCATGTCAACCGCACTGCACTCTCCCGTGATTGCATATCAGGATCGCACCGTCATCATATCGTTCGTGATATCTCCACCTCCACCAAAGCCGGACGAACGATGGTCTCACCACGGGAGGGGAACGATTGCTGAGAGGATATGGGCATGCTGTTCACGGGGCTGTCGTCTTTATACTGGCAACTATGGATCTCGCTATACGTGTCGTTCTACGCCGCTACAATCCTTCACCGACGTTCACCGCCTTCTTCCATCGTGGCCATGGCTTCATATCGACTAGCGGGTGGACCCTTACCCAGATGGGCCCGGATCCACTATCAAGGAACCGAGGAACGACTTCTTTTTCTGATCAATAGCTGACATGCTTTTCTCGCAGATTGTCTACTCCTAGCTGTACCTGCTTCCCCCAGCGCCGAAAAGGACTTGCACTGTTCGTACTCATCATCAACGCCATCTCCGACTCCGGGCTCACACTAGCCTAGATCTCAGTTGCCAGTACTGGAATCTCTTGATTCCATCTCTCGGCTCCATACCCCTAGCCCGGCGGACTCGTTAGCTCGTGCTCTGCCCTACGACCTCCCCTTTCACTAAGGGACCTACGAGACCGCGTCAACCAGTCTTCTGGATGCTATCAGTGCCTTCTTCGACTTCTTCCGCTGTCTTATTTGTGTTTTTGTACACTCCATTCGCTCACTAACATAATAGTATTAATTCTGCAAAGGTATGGACTTCGTTCGCATTGGTCTGTGTAATGATCGCTAACCGGACTGGTCCAGGTTCTGTCTACTGTAACACGATCGATCCTCAGTACTAAAGGATCACCGACAACAGACCTACCTTACATACCAGCTAATCACACTCTTTGTACCTGTTGCCTTTCAGGCTGCCACTCTCTAATCCGGCTCATCATTCGAAGCTGTCCACTCACTAAATACCCTTCACCCCAACCGACCACGTCTATCCCGGAGACCTGACGACTACATCATCAATATGGCGTACCACCAGCAACCGCAACAATCCCGCTACGGCCAGTGCGATTCGTACTTTGTCGAGTCTCATGATGATGGCATCTATGCCATGCGAGCAGAGGCCAGAGAACGCCATCGCGCTGTTTCCAAGATGCAACAACGAGCAATCGCTGAGGAACTCTCAAGGCAAACCGCCGATGAATACCAAGAAGACATTATGCAACACATGATCCACATGGAGTCACAGACTCTACCTGACGTCAACTCAATCGACATCCAGACAGAGATCCAGTGGTTCATGCGCCCATACCTCCTTGACTTCTTAGTCGAAGCTCATGCTGCTTTCCAGTTGTTGCCCGAGACCCTTTTCCTCGCCGTCAACCTTCTCGACCGCTACTGCTCTCGCCGTGTTGTCTACAAGCGTCACTACCAGCTCGTTGGCTGCGCAGCCCTGCTCATTGCCGCCAAGTACGGTGACAAGAAGGACCGTGTCCCGACTGTTCGGGAGCTCAAGTCCATGTGCTGCTCGCTGTACGACGATGAAATGTTCACCCAGATGGAGTGGCACGTTCTGCAAACTCTTAACTGGGTCATTGGTCACACCACGGTAGATGCCTTCCTCCAGATCGCCCTGTCGGAGGCCCCCTACGATGCTGAGGTTGAGCACATGACTCTTTACATCGCCGAGATCGCTCTCTTCCACAAGGAGTTCGTCTCTACTCGACCATCTGTCCTTGCCCGATCCGCCCTCGCCCTTGCGAGATGTGTCCTGTCCCGACCTCAAGCACGCAACACAGATTGGTCTGGTGCTTACGACCCCCAAACAGTCATTGGTCTGTCCAACCATCTCTACCAGCCATCTCCGGTACTTTCCCGCAAGTATGCCTCCATGCATCTGTCAACCGTATCCGCCACCGTCGAGGAGTTCCTCCAACGGCAAGCGCAGATTGCGCGACGACAAGCCGCCCCGCCCACACCGCCACCGACCGTCACCATCGAGGAGCCCAAGCCTGTCGTCACTGTGAACGCTTACGGACCCCAGACGCCCAACAAGAACCCATACGGCTCTGTCATGCACAATGGATGTCCCACACCGCCCATCACACCGGAGGGCGAGCACTTTACCTACGGCCACGTCGTCAAGTCGCAGCCCACTTCGATGTACCCCACGACTCCCACTCCGGATCATCCGGCGAACGCGCAACATCAAGGTCAATACTTCCACCAACAATACCTCCATCCCCAGCACGTCCAGTAAATTACCGCGCCGGGCAGTGGTTGTACACCATCACTGTCGAAAAAATTCAACTGCCATGGACTGTTATGATCACGTCCATGTGTGCTCCGTTGTACCAAAAATACTCGCGTATGAGCGTCATAGCATGGTCATTTCTTCCAGCATTTACAAGCGTCTGTTACTGTTATTTTGCGATATCAAAGACGTCACTTTTCTGTTTCGAGCATTTCTTTTGTTAGGTCCGACCAAAAATTAAACGGTCGTCCACTGTCATTTCCGCACGGCAGCCAGTCCTGTGGTTTTGGCGAGTGGAGCCCAGGTCAGGTCCGGCACCCTTTCTTCTTGGATTTAGCATCCATCTAATACGGGTTGTTTGATCTGGTCTGCAGCATGTGGGGAGGAAAAAGTGGCTACAGGCTGAAATTGGAATACACAAGCCAGCACAATCAGGCTCACTCGCAACTGTTGTTTGCTTAAGCGAGCAGAGATACCCTTCCTTTCTCAATCCAAAACTTTTATCGGACACCTTATTTGATCCATGGGCGTCTACTTTCCTTTTGCATAAGCGGCGGAACGGTGAAAAAATGTGTGAAGTGATGCTGGCATGTGGTTGCTTGGATTTGCAGGGCTCTCCAGATTGCTACTTTGACAGCGGGGCTGAAAGGGTCACGAAGAGCATCATTAGTTATAGAACCGGTCGCCCAAAATTGAGGAATTGGTCTTCCATGCTCGCTTTTCGCCTGGTATACTGTTGTTTCTGCGTTTCATCATGCGATATTCCTGGTGATATATGTTGGGCGAGTGGATGCTATACAGTCCACGCCGCAGGGTACACCCACTCGCCGCATGTTTCAAAGCAAGCAATGCGATCTCAGTTCTTTAAGATTACCTTGTTCTGCTCTTTCAGGCATGTATACACTCCTTTCATGTTACTCAACTGCAAACGCTGGCGAGAATGCCTCTAGTGAGTATTATACAGTGGGCGCCTGTGTGAGCCTATCAGCGCCTCCACCTACTAACCGCTCAAGATCTCTATTACTACCGCGAACTCTGGTACAGCAGGCTATAGACTGCTCTCACCCTATACCGACGACGATACTACGTTTGCACATAACACGCTCTGTCCACGATATGCAGAGTCCGATCCTACATCCGCACCGCCGTCCCCTGCGTCTGTCGAGTCCTTTGAGATATTGGACAGCATACCTTGGCGCAGAGGCTACATATCCTTAGACCATCATGGAAGGCAAAGCACCAATACACTACAAAGTCGATGGGTAAGAAACAAGGTTCGCACTATGGTGCTGCTTTTGCTCTTCACCTTGCTTGTAGCTGGCTGCACGCTAGGCGGATACATGATGATCAAACACGGGAAAAGCAGCAGAAGCACAGACATGGCATGATTCTTGCATTGGAATAGACACGGCACATGGGCAAGTAATCATCGAGATTCAAGAACATGATGCTGTGGCGGATTGTTCCCAGCCTCGCATTTATGAGTCCACTGTCGCGAGGCCAGTGGACGTGGCGTTCTCCGGAGCACCCGAGAACGAATCCCCTACAGGGAAGGTCCCTTTAGACAGTCAGCCACGTCTGCGGGAAGAGGCAAATACAGCTTGGGCGACAAAGGAATTCGCGCTGCAAGGCGGGTCTGTTTTACGACAAGGGGTCAACGCGGTAAAATAGATACTGGGTGTTGAGGTAGATCGATACAACGCGACGCGATTTGGTCCCATCGCAAGATTGCGATGCGTTGGCGGCAGAAGAGGCTGGGATAGCCCTACTTCCACGGGATAAAGTCCGGAAATACATTCAAAAGGGCAATGCAACACTGCGATGCGGGACGAATTTGAAATATCAGAGAAGCGGAACCCAAGATGCAAGATGACATAAGAAGCTTCTAAGTTGATGCTTCCCCACAGTGTATCCTTTCGAGATCCCAAGGGTAACTGTCCTGTTCACGTGACCTTCGCCTTATCGTATCACGGCGATAAGACACGAAGTAGAACAACACCGATAGATAGTACCACGAAATACATACATGCTTGCTCTTGAATCAGTATTCAACCGGCTATGCTTTCTACATTATGACTTCGATTGAACCCTGAACGCGATGTCTAACATCGACAGCAGCGCACCCCTACTCACACGCCTCACAACAACATCTATGCCGTCAACTAGCAACCCATCTCCTATACTGTCTGCCTCCAGTAAACGCACAATATGGCCCTTGGTGCTTCTTCTCATCTTGGTGCAGCTTTCGTCGGTTCTATATACACTGCCTCTCAACCGAGTGATAGAGCTACGATTGTGTCAAGAGCACTATGAAGCGAATGATCCATCGGTGATACAGCCAGACGGGACGATACCGGAGATGCTATGTAAAGTCAAGGATGTTCAACGGGGGCTTGCATGGTTACAAGGGAGCATGGAGACGATGAGTGTTGTATGTGGTATGTGATTCGACCATTGTATTTTCAGGTAAGAGGTGGAGATGGAGGCTGATGCTGTGTACATTCAGATTTTATCGTCACGATACCTTTTAGCTTCATGGCCAAGAAATGGGGTGTTAGGACAGTGCTGTGGTTCAATCTTGTTCCTAGGGTAGTCATGAGTGTCTGGGCTGTTATCGTCGGTATGTGTTGAACCAAAAATATACTCGCTCGACCGTATAGTCGACCTCTATCTAACTACGTCAGGACACTTTCCACTCCTCTTACCTACCAAGGCCATTCTTGCAAGTCCGATCTTCAACGTCTTGGGAGGTGAGTGTGTCTTCCAGTCAACAATATTTACACTTACTTCGGGCTTGACGAGTGAGTATGTTCAACGGTGAGTAATTACCTTCTATCTAGTAGCTTACGGTAGGGAAGCAAGACTAACTACGAACAGAGCATCATACTTCTCCTACATCAGCTCAACCTCTTATATCGTCTCCTTCATGGGCCCAACTTTTGCCGCTTTCACCATGAGCGCCAACCTCTGGCTGCCCTTCTGGCTCAACATCTTTCTCCTACTCTGCGCTATACCAACGATAGGCCTACTTCCAAAAACCTCGAAATTCTCAAAATACACCATATCGGCCCACGAGACTATACCTAACGAAAATACGGAGGAATCAGGACCCTTGATTGGAAGCAGAAATACCAGTCCAGATAGATATGCCTCCGCATTCCAAGCACCACACTCCAGCACGTACTACCAAAGTATCAAAACAACCATAGAACAACTGGTTCATCTGGTGCTTGGACGACGAAGCTTCCAAATCCTGCTGCTGACCTTGTTCTTTACGGCACTGGCTAGTTCAGACACAAAGCTCTTGGTTCAGTATATTTCCAAACGCTACAATTGGACTTTTGCACAGGCAGGCTACTTGCTCTCAGCGAAGGCGTTGGTGAACCTCACGCTACTTGCAGTAGTCGTTCCACGTATCATTCGTAAATCCATGTCATCGAGAGCCGTTCAAGGTTCTGATGTGCGACTGAACATTCTGGGAGCAGATGTTAGTATTGCGGTCTCGGTGGTGGGTGTGCTATGTATCGCATTAGCGGGGAGATTTTGGATGTTGTTTACTGGTACGTCTACTACACTTACTCTTACTCAATAGTCGCATGGAGAGATAAGATGAGCTAACATGAACAGCGCTCATCATCTACGCACTCGGATCAGCTCTACCAGTGTTTACCATGTCGTTGATCAAGTCGTCGTTGATTGCCATTGAAGGCTCTGATGCTCAAGACTTCAGTATCGTCATGTTGACCAAGACACTTGGGTCTTTGGTTGGCGCGCCGTTGATGACAGTTTTGTGGGTCAAGGCGATCGAATGGGGAGGCATTGGACTGGGATTGCCATATCTCATATCCTCAGTACGTTGGCGTGCTACATACACAAGATGCACGCTAATCCGTATTACAGTGTTTATACATGTCTGCATTCATCATATTCTCACGTTTACGAACTTGAATATGATGAATGCGAAACATCCCCACGATGAACGACATACACGTTTGTATCATCGACGGTACTTTGTGGTGGACATTATACTAGGTCCTAGACTGTGTCTTTTTCGAGTGAGCAGCTTTCTGAACGAGCCATACACACTCTCAGAATTGAGACTTGGACCGACAGATCCCTGTGATACTACCCAAAAAATGTATAGTTGTGGATAAAATACTGTTAGTGCGAACTTGCATCTGACGTTTGAAGTAACAAAGCCTACAGAACTCGATAGACAAAATACTATTTTACTGTACAGCTCCAAGCAGTGTGTCAGTATTAGGTGCCCGACTTCTACCACTAGGATGTAAAGGATCATGGGAAAGACGGGAAGCTTTGCATTGGTGAAAAGGGAGTCGTCTGCTATTTCTTTAGCGTAAATAGCTAGGGCATTTCAGGTGATAGGAAAGAGGAAGCCACACAATATGATGATGGTTATGTTTATCCATTTTGTATTTCGGGGCCATTTGATGGGATTCGTTGGATAGTTGTTTCTATCTCGAATCTGTCGTGAGTCAAGTCACAGTATGTTGCGCCTAATTGATAGCATACCGCCATTTCTCCTAAGGTTGGATACCAGGTCTTGTTTTGAAGACACACTGTCCACCAGGGTAAACCTTGCTTACTCTTTGCCTCTGAATTTAACAGTCCATACATGTTCTTCATGGGTTTCGAAAGGAGGAGGATTTGAAAGCGATATGTTGGCTGTCATCCTCGGATTCACCACGCATGGTTCCTGGTTGGTTCTCGGCCTACCATGGAGATATCAACATGTCATTTGTGTATCAGTTTGAAGCAAGCAACCAGGCCTACTGGTTAGCTGAGTCTCACGTAGACTTAGTAATAAAGTGTATTTATGTGGCAAACACAGAGGTATTCGGTGAGCGTGAACTGAACTGATGGACTCGTATCGACGCAGTCCAATGCTTTCGTCTATAGGGTATCATGCCTCAATCAAAATCCCGGATTCTATTTGTACACCACTTTCTCACCACTTCTCCATCCACGCATAATAGCTCAATCCATATCCTCAAGACCGCCAGAATCACTTGGCGCTTGCTCCTCGCTAACCATGATGCCCACCATACATTCACCCAACATATTCTCCCAATTCACCCACGGGTGAACTTCCATAAACAGCTTGGTCCCGTCTTTGCCCGCTGCTCGTCTCAGCTCACCCTCTCCACCAGGGTGAAAGGGCAAATAGGGCGAGATGTTGTATACCTTGCCCTGATAGCTTGACCAAGCCGGTTTACCCTTGCGTCCATTCTTCTCTTTGAGCATAGCAGGCGTAACGCGTATCATCGAATCAACGCCCGACAAGTTCTTGCCTGACTTTTGCAGATAAGCCCAGTCCAGTGGAGAGTGACCTGGCGACAGGAGTACCTTGCCTCTGGCGTTTGGCGTCTTGAGTGTGGGGCCTGCGGTGGGTGGAAGCCCCAGGCTGCCGTTTGAAGTTGGTGGACCGCGATTCGGTAGTGGACCGCGGTTCGGAAGAGGGCCGGTTGTGGGTACGCGCATCGACTGCGAGGAGGTGTTGGGAAGGGCACGGAGGTTTGAAGCTGCGACTTTTGGGGGTGGCATGAGGGAAGTTGTGGGTTTTTGTGGCGGGGCCATGAGGTTTGGCTTGCCGGGTGGAGGCATAGCGGACGGTGGGGGCATGGTGGATAGCGAAGGGGGCTTCGAGGCTCTCTGTGCCGAGTTCATGGCCGGGAAGGAAGGTGGTGGCAGGTTGTCTTCTTCGTCTTCGTCGGAGCTCTCATGCTCGTTGAGCGTGAAGGTGGGTACAGCGGGCGCATCTTGGTCGGATGCGGGAGCAGCTTTTGGGGTAGTCTCGACGTCGTCCTGTGTCGTCGGGGTGTGCAGCTCTATGCGTTGGTGTGCAGCCGGGGTGTTGTCGTCTGTCTCGCCATGCTGCGACTTCTCAGGTATCGAGGGCGCGGCAGACTGTGTGAGGCGAGTAAGGAAGGCGAGCCATGTCGAGGGCGGGCGCTGGTAGACCAGGAATGACAGTGACAGGGCAAGTATAGAGACGGCTACGAGCATCTCTTGTGGCTGTCGAGGGTAAGGAGCGAGGGCGGCGTGGACCCTGGAGGCTGATATAGAGCGGAACGAGTCCAGGCTTCATGCGCTTACAGGGTCAAGCTGTAGGGCTGAAGGGATTTGGCGCTAACCATCAATGACTTCACGCGCCGCATGCCGTCACTGGTTCCGGGTTCGGAACAAGTCGTGTCTGGGTGAATATACTTTGTCATGAGGCATTGGTAATTCTCTTGCTACCTTGCCAGTACACAGAGCCTCGATATCTCATCCACGGTTACGCGCGACCCACACTACGCGCCTTTATAACCTTCGCGCCTGCCCCACCACCCCTCTATCAACCGCGATCGCAAGTGCAGCCCTGAAGCTGAATTTCCAACGCGCAGCAACCAACACGCAATCATGGCGAACCAAGCACAAGACCTGCCCGAGGGTATCTTTTCTCTTTTAGATACCGATCTCTACAAGCTGACTATGCAATGTTGCATACTGAAGTTCTTCCCCGATGTCTCAGTCACCTACGGCTTCACCAATCGCACACCCGATAAGAAGCTCAATCGCACAGCCTTCAAGTGGTTGCAAGCCCAAGTAGATAGTATGCTCGCTTTCTATCCACACACACACACACACACACACACACACACAATAGCTGCTAACCCTGTTAGAGCTCGAGAACGTAGCCGTGTCTGAGGAAGAACTCAACTTCCTCAAGAATACTTGCCCCTACCTAAACGCGCAATATCTCCATTTCCTCTCCACCTTCCGCCTGAAGCCTTCCCAGCAGCTCAAGCTGTCTTTCCAATGCGCGAATGACACTGGGTCAGATAGCGATGTTGGCGATTTCCACATCCATACCGAGGGCCTCTGGCTAGACACGATCCTCTACGAGATTCCATTACTGGCGCTTGTCAGCGAGGCATACTTCAAGTTTGTCGAGACAGACTGGAGCCATGAGGGCCAAGTCGAGAAGGCATACCAAAAGGGGCGGGGTCTGCTGGAAGGAGGCTGCATCTTTTCCGAATTTGGCTCGCGGAGACGTCGCGACTACCACACCCAAGATCTAGTGCTGCAGGGCTTGCGCAGGGCGGCTGATGAGGGTAGCAAGGCAGGTTGGAAAGGAAAGCTCTCGGGGACAAGTAACGTCCACTTCGCCATGAAACATGGCCTTGTCCCTGTGGGCACTGTTGCGCACGAGTGGTTCATGGGCGTGGCTGCCATTACGAACAACTACGAGAGCGCAAACGAAATTGCCCTGGAATACTGGACAGCGACATTTGGCGCAGGCGTCCTGAGCATTGCACTTACAGACACGTTCGGCACACCTACCTTCCTCAGGGCTTTCAAGAAGCAGATTCCGCGTGTTACTACCGCTATCCCAGGAGGCGGCACAACACTGGCTTCAGCTGGAGATACCACCAACAACGATGCTGTAGAGACAATGTCCTCAACCAAGCCACCTATCCAGGCACCATACGACGGAAATGCGGGATCGCAACAGACTTATGCCGACGTGTTTGCAGGCGTACGACAGGATTCTGGGGACCCATTAGATTTCATCAAGATGATGCGCGACTTCTACGACGAACAAGGCATCAAGGATAAGAAGACGATTGTATTCTCCGACTCTTTGAACCTGGAACTCTGCTTCAAGTACAAGGCTGCAGCAGAAGCGGCGGGTTTCCAGCCTACCTTCGGTGTTGGAACGTTCCTGACAAGTGAGTACTGTGGCGCATGTGTGACCGGAACACAGCTGACAATGACAGATGATTTTGTGGAGAAGTCTACCGGTAACAAGTCTGTACCCCTCAACATTGTCATCAAGATCGCTTCCGCTGCGGGGCGTCACGCCGTCAAGATCAGCGACAACATCGGCAAGAATACCGGAGACAAGGCAACAGTAGACGAAGTCAAGCAGCGGTTAGGCTACCAAGAGAAGTCGTGGGCTGGCGGTGATGAGAAGACGCGGTGGGGTAGTGCAGGACAGCCAGCCACCAAGTAGTGCGCTTTGCATTCAGTAGTACGCTCTGAAGACGGAGACGCGACCAACAAGCGGAGGCGTTCATAAGCTGTGATGCGGTCTGCAAGGCTGAGTCTAGCGCAGACGTTTCTTGCAAAGACCGCGAGGCTGGGTAAGCAGCCGGTCAGCGTTTTGATTCGCGGGTTCGGGGTCTCTTTACGAGATGGGAGGCGAAAGCAGCGGCGTCAGTAGATGATTTACCAAGATGTTCCTTCCAGACGCCAAAGTATCTGCACGGTGCCAAAATTAGAGTGATCTTAGGGCACCTTCGCCGCTGCGGGCCAACGACGCGCCGCTGCTTACCATCCCGAGTGGGCCTAGTGCAAGCGCCTCCTGCATCTGCGCGCTCCACTCTCACACTCAGCCCCAGGAAACACTCTCCAAGCTGAAACACATTTATCTTCCCTCGACAGCCTTTCTCCAGCATTGATTCGAGCTCAAGCGCGTTTGACATCAATTCACCTCTGCCCTAGTCACGAGCCAACCGCTACTCTAGTGTGCTTTACGCGTTTGCAGTCGGTTGTCTCAGGAGTCTTCACATCCACTCATACCACACGGGGTCTGTTTCAGAATGAGCGTAAGTCCCTTCTCCGTCAGACTACTCAATTGACACAACACCTCTACAACACAAACCCGACTACTCTCGACATTTACACTTGCTGACCATGGCTGCTGCCGACGAACAGTTTGGAAACAAAGGCTACGGCCAGATAGGATCATATGGCGGTAACCCCTACGATTCCCGCGACCCGAGCCCGGCTGGCTACAACAACTACAACCAGGGCGGCGGCTATGGTACGTTGTTCGATGCGCTGCACCCTCGACACGTGTCTAACACAATACAGGCGATGTAGAGATGCAATCCTACGGTGGTGGCGCAAGCGCGAACCCCAATGCCATCCTCGACGAATGCCGCGAAGTCGACCGCGCCCTCGACGACCTCGATGCCCAACTCAGCAACCTCGACCGAGTGTTCAAGCAGTCGCTGGCGCGGCCAGACATGCCCTCGGGCGAAATCAACAACCTCAGCTCCCAGATCATGACGGGGTACCGTGGCCTCGTGACACGCGTAAAAGCAATTAAGTCGAAGCCCGACTCCGGCCACCCAAGAAATGCCCCACAAGTCGGCAAGGTCGACCGCAGACTCAAGGCGACTATCAACAAGTACCAGTCGCTCGAGTCGGATTTCCGAAGGGATTCGCAAGCTGCTGCCGAGCGCCAGTACCGCATTGTGCGCCCAGACGCAACCGAACAAGAGGTCCGAGACGCAGTAGCGGACCCCGATGCGCCCATCTTCCAGCAGGCTGTAAGAAACCTTCAACTGTTGAGTATGTCACATACTAATCTTTTTCTAGCTCCTTAACTCAGACCGCCGCGGCCAAGCCTCATCTACCCTCCGCAATGTAAAAGAGCGCCACGAGGCCATCCAGAACATAGAACGTCAAATGGTCGAACTCGCCCAACTGTTCCAAGACCTTGACCAGATCGTCCAGGAGCAAGAACCGCTCGTTGCCAACATTGAGCAAAAGGGCGAGGAAATCCACGACAACGTCCAGGCTGCCAACGTCGAAATCGATGGTGCTATCGTCAAGGCGCGTAGCCGTAACCGCAAGAAGTGGTGGTGCCTCCTCGTTATCCTGCTTATCATCATTATTGTGGTCGTCATTGCTGTGGTTGTCACACAGGTTAACAAGGCGGCTGCGAATACTGTTGCGTAAGAGGCTGACAGGAAGTAGCTGCGAGGAGGATTCGTGCTGCATTAACATGTCGCGTCCCCGACTCGGTACTCACTACATCTCACGTCTCAGGGCACGTGAGAATATCGATTGCTGTGGGACATGGCACCACAGCCGCCGTCTCACATCAACACCACCACATCCACCGTCTCATTCTCCCTTTTAGTCTTTTTTGAAAGGCTGGTCCCGTACTCATATGTAATACGCCTGCCTCTCTTGGTGGATATGCATACCCCTCTAGCCGCATCTCGCTTGTCTGTCATTTCTTCCCTTGGTCTAGGAAAATTGGTCTTTCTGTTTTGTTTTGTGGAGGCGCTTTCACGGCGTGTTCGATTCCCAGCGCTGGCCGAGTTGCTTTGCGCGTTTGCTTTTACACAAATGTCTTTTTATAGAGTCAAGCTCACGAGCTATTGAAATGGAAGAGGATTGAAACCTTGAGCATGAAGTGATGATGTTTACTGTGAGGAGGTTTTTGATGTGCCATTGCTCATCATCTCCACCACCCCAAGTCCAGGTCCGGCGCAATCTACCTTTCCATACGCACAATCAAACCCTGTGGGAAAGGGCGGCGAGGAACATGCTCTCAGGTGACGTTGGCAATATTAACATGTACCGCGCTAAATTTCAAAGTTAATCTAAATGGCACACGCATATGGAAGCCGAAGAATAACCTGGGGTAAGATGCACGATTTACCGACATTTTAACCACTAGAACGCCATTTTCATATATTCTGGAAACAAGCACGGAACAAGCATGCCACTATGCCAGTTATGCTACGGAAGGAAAAGCTTGGGCTGCGAGAATGATGGAGATGAGGGTATAAAGGCATAGCAGTTTGTCCCTGTCTGGCATACCATCAATTCACTCTGCACCAGAACAACGACAACGATGCTTCGTCAAACAGCTCTCTTCGCCTTGGCCCTTGCGGCACCTACCATCGCCCAAGTTACTGAAGGCTTCGAGAATGGCTGGGATCAAACCGCATGGCCTGTATACGCAACAGACTGCAATCAAGGAGGCAAAGTCACCCTGGATAGCTCGACAGCTCACACGGGCAAGAACAGTATTCGTGTCGACGGAGCAGGTGGATTCTGCGGCCACATCTTCGTTGGCACAACGAAGATTCCTTCTGGCGATGTTTACGTGCGAACATATGTGTATGTACTCACCTCGTCCTTCTCCCTCCTCATCCGACGCATTGTTTCCATTGAACAAGAGAAGTCATCAAGACCTCCTACTAACACCCTACAGCAAAGCCGCAAAAGCTCTGACCGACTCCCACGTAACCTTCATCACCATGCCCGACTCGGCTCAAGGCACAAACAAACACCTCCGCATCGGAGGACAATCCAAGATCCTCATGTACAACCGCGAAACCGACGACGCTACTTTGCCGGATCTGTCCCCACAGGGTATCGCGACGTCCAAGGCGCTGCCAACGAATGCTTGGACGTGCTTTGAGTACCATTTGGGTACTGACGGAAGTGTGGCGACGTGGTTGAACAACGTAACGGTACCGGCTTTGACTGTGGGCAATGGAGCGACCAATGCGAATGCGGGGCAGTGGACGAGGAGCAGTGTTAAGCCGAAGATTACGGGAGCCTACTTTGGATGGGAAAGCTATGGCGGTGATACTAACACTATGTGGTACGATGATATCGTTGTTAGTAGCAGCAGGATTGGATGCTAGACGGTTACAAGGGAACGCGTATCTTCTGAATTGTACATATGTAACACCTGATAGCAATGTTGAATCTATCAGTATCAGTTTTGTGCTGAACACATACTTGCAATCTAAGCCAGAACCCTGCGAATTCATATGACGTAAAGTGGAGGTGCAACTAAGAAGAGACGAGCCTCTTGGTATTGAACGCCAGGGCTAGCAGAGTAGCTAAGACTCGTAGAATAAAGAATACGACCGCCCACATCCTCTTGCATGTAGACGCGGTACTTGTTGCAAAAGTGAAAGCTGTGGAAGTTGTTATCAGTCTCCAGATGGCATCAATGTGACGAGATTAGTCCAGCACATGCTTGCTCGTTCGCTTCGCATACGCTTTGCAGCTTCCTAGAAGCTTCCTGTCCATGCGCGATAATGCCACCAACAAGGTCATGGTGACACAAGGGCCTGGTGACTCCCGCCTCCGCAATCCGGTGTGGACCAGCGGATCCTCATCATCAAATTCCCTCAGCTCATGTCATCTGAGCACCTCAACTCCACCAGAAACCACCAAAAGGACCGGCTGTTCACCTTGGCGCAGGATCTTGGTGTGGCAGTTTCTTGCTCTGAGCATCGCAGCTGGCTTGCAGCGCGATACCCTGCCGATCAGCTATCGCCTGATCCCTATTGGGTTGGCTTACGACTCCCACTTGGCGAACAAGCGGAACCAAGCCCACGAGCACCGCGCCACACTTGCTTTCACCAATGTAGACGACCAGGTGAGCGGTGAAGCCATGCGTGCCATGCAGCAGCGTCCGTACGACGACTGCACGAGGGCCACTTTGGCAATCACATGGCAGCTTCCACAGCCCAGCACGCAATCACAGCGGCGCATTTCCCAAGTGCATTCTTGCTAGCTTCCGCCGCCCGCTGCCTGCATGCCCGCCCACCGCGCGAACAACGTCGAAACCAAGAGACGATGCGAAGACACGCCTAGACCCTGGGCTGACGCTCGCTACCCTTTGCGACCTAGGATTCGGGGCGTTAGGATGGCGCTGGGACCCTTGCGCATGTTTGTTTCTACCACGGTTAAGAGCAGCCTGGGGTTCGCTTTCTTTTCACGTTTGCACGTTCGTACTCTGGGGAAGCTTTTGTGGGGGACCCGACCTTCTTCTCTACCCTTAGTATTACCACAGACCCACGCGTTCGCCATGTCGTCTGTAGCAGCGTCGGCGAGTGCAGCGCCCACGGCGCCCATCAAGGCCCCGCCGCAAGCCGGTATCCTCGAGGGCGTCAATCCAGTGCATTTCGACAAGAATCATCCGATTATTCTGTTCATTGTTCAGGTATGTTGTGGTTTACTATGTTGTGCATCGCTTCAGAAGCTTAGCCTGTGGGACGCTCCACCGATCTAGTGCTACCAACATCTTCTCTTTGCGCGACTCCAGTTCCATAGCTTTGGTTCTGCGTGCGAAAGTATACAATACATGTCAAATTCAGTTTTCGTTTCCTTTTGAAGTCCCAAAAAAAGAGAAACTAACCACAATGTACACATTAGGCAGGCATAATCATCATCTTTTGCCGCGCACTCAACTGGCCCCTCTCGAAGATCCGTCAACCTCGTGTGATATCCGAAATCATCGGCGGCATCATTCTAGGTCCCTCTGTTATGGGCCGGATCCCCGGCTTCCAAACCTCCATCTTCCCAACCGAGTCCATGACCAACTTGAACCTGGTTGCCAATCTCGGTCTCACATTGTTTCTGTTCATTATTGGACTAGAAGTAGATCTACGGTTTTTACTAAGCAACTGGAGACCAGCGCTCAATGTTGGCTTGGCGAGTATGGCTATTCCGTTTGGACTTGGATGCGCTATTGCCGTGGGACTTTACAATGAGTTCAAGGATGAGCCGGATACGGTTCAGATTGACTTTGCCATCTTTATGTTATTTATCGGTGTGGCTATGGCGATTACTGTGAGTATTCGAAGACGAGACGACGCTGCATTCGCTAACTCGATAGGCCTTCCCTGTGCTTTGCCGTATCTTGACGGAACTCAAGCTGCTCATGACTCCAGTTGGTGTTATTGTTCTCTCAGCTGGTGTTGGTAACGACGTTGTTGGTGAGTTTCACATGATAGAAATCCAAACAATTCCCAGACTAACATGTACAGGATGGATTCTACTCGCTCTTTGCGTAGCCCTTGTCAACGCTGGCTCGGGTCTGTCAGCACTGTGGGTGCTCCTCACATGTTTTGGGTACATGCTGTTCCTTGTGTACGCCGTCCGGCCAGCATTCGTCTACATCCTGCGTCGTCAGCGCGCACTTCAAGACGGTCCCAGCCAAGGCATCATTAGTCTCACTCTGCTCATCGCTCTGGGATCCGCTTTCTTCACTGGTATCATTGGTGTCCATCCTATCTTCGGTGCGTTCATGGCTGGATTGATCTGTCCGCACGAAGGTGGTTTTGCCATCAAAGTTGCCGAGAAGATTGAGGATCTAATCGGCGCACTCTTCCTGCCGCTCTACTTTACCCTCTCAGGACTGAACACTAACATTGGCCTCCTGGACTCTGGTATTGTTTGGGCCTACGTCATTGGCGTCTGCGCTGTAGCGTTTTTCTCCAAGTTCCTCAGTGCTACACTTGCAGCTCGTGGAAGCAAGATGCTTTGGCGAGAATGTTTCGCTGTAGGATCACTGATGAGTTGTAAGGGATTGGTAGAGCTGATCGTCTTGGTAAGCAAACACTCTCTTCGAAGCATGGAGCCAGCATTAACAGTCACAGAACATCGGGTTAAATGCCAAGATTCTCAGCACTCGAACCTTCACCATCTTCGTTGTCATGGCCCTTGTCACTACCTTTGCGTCGTCTCCCTTGACCATGTACTTCTATCCCCCGTGGTACCAGAAGAAGGTCGAGGCGTGGCGTCGCGGCGAGATTGATTGGGACACCGGCAAGCCTCTCGATGGTTCCGAAGATGGTGTCGACGGTGTGAACTACGAGAAGATGGCAGCCGAGAAGATCCAGCGGATGACCGTCTACCTCCGTCTGGACAGTATGCCTAACCTCCTAGCCTTCACCTCCCTCTTTGGTGGAAACGCAGACAAGCCAGCGGCCAAGACACACCCTTCCAAGGACATCAGCAGTACTGGCAAAGAGACAGGCGAGACATCACTAGTCGAAACCGCACCATCAAGACCAGTAGAAGCCTACGGTCTCCGTCTACTCAACCTCACCGACCGTGGCTCCTCCGTCATGCAGGTCTCGGAAATAGAATCATACACAGCCTACGACCCTGTTGTAAACACCTTCCGCACTTTCGGTCGTCTCCACAACCTAGCCGTCAGCGGTGAAGTACTCGTCGTACCAGAGTCCTCTTTCGCCGAAACCCTCGCCACACGTGCTTCAGATTCCAACTTCCTTGTTCTTCCCTGGAGTGAAACAGGCGGTATGTCCGAACAAGCCATCATCGAAGACAAGGGAACGAAGAACAAGCTCGCCGCATCAGGTTACAACTCGTTTGTACATGAGACGCTCGAACAAGCCAGCATACCCGTCGCAGTACTCATCAACAAGAACTTTGGAGGCAGCAAGAACAAGGAGCAGAAGCAGCGATTGAAGCTTACCAGAACATACAGTAGTGTCAGTCTGTCGAGCGCTAGAGACAAGGCGGTCACAGCGCCCATTGCGGATCGAAGCCACCACATCTTCTTCCCCTTCTTTGGCGGCAACGATGATAAGACAGCGTTGAGACTGGTTCTGCAGTTGGCAGAGAATCCGC